CGCCCAGGCTGGAGTGCAGTGGACTGCTCATGGCCACTGCAGCCTCGACCTGCTGGGCTCTCAGGTGCTCTTCTGCCTCAGCCTTCCAAGTAGCTGGAACTACAGACACACGCTACCACACCTGGCTAATTTTTTTATTTACTATAGAGATGAGGTCTCGCCATGTTACCCAGGCTGGTCTTGAACTCATGAACTCAGGCAATCCTCTCACCTCTGCCTCTCAAAGTTCTGGGATTACAGGCACGAACCACCGCACCTGGCCAACCCTACCCCTTTTTGTTTGCTTGTCTTGTCTGGATTGTTTGTTTGTACTGACAAATATTAAGTTAGAGCTAAACTTAATGAACCGTGTCATTACGTTTGAATAAGGCTTTGAACCTCTTCTGATGATAGGGTATCATTCTACTTTGTTGGGCTTTCCTAGGCCCTTTCTAAGAAAATCAGCTTTTTTTCCAAGTCAACTTCTGGGACCAGAAGACAAGGCTATGGGTCCTTCACAGGGACGGGAATCCCAGGCAGCTCTCAGTCCCTGGTCATCTTTCAAATCCCTTTTCCCACTTCTCAGTGGATTCACCAACTGTTATTCAGAAAACCAAATTCAAATTTCTCAGCCATGATTTGGCCTCAACCTCTCTCTCTGACTTCAGTGAGTTTTTCATTTGCCATGTTCCAACCTCGCTGGCCCCTCCCTTTTCAAGCTTTTGCAGCCCTCTTTATCCCAATCCTATTCTGTCCATCGCTTGTTAAGTCTAGCTCTGTCTTTCCATTCCATATTGAATCAACAAATCCCTTTCTCAGGGACACTTCCCTAATCATTCTATAGGAAAAACTGCCCTCTCCTCCCAACTCCTATAGTCTCCCTACACTGTTTCATTGATGACCATCCAAAATTATCCCAAATCAACTTATTTTGTTATTTATTTGTTGACCATCGGTTCACCCCCACTAGAATGTATGCCCCATGAGAGTGGAGAACTGGTCTATCTTGGTCACTGTTGATTCTGCGGTGTCTATAGCAACATTGGGAACCTAGTAGGTGTTCAATAACTTTCCTTTAAATGAATGAGTTAAATGAATGGCTGCTCAAACCCCTTTTTGGGTCCTGGGGGAGAGCAGTGCGGAGTGTGAGTGTGTGCCACTGTGATTGCAGACGGAGTCCTTCAAGCTCAGTAAGCCCTACAGTCAGTGCACGGAGGACGGGAGCGACGTGCCAATCAAGAACATCTACAATGCTGTCTACTCCCTTCAGGTAAGGGTTGGGGTGGGCACCGAGCCCTAGGTTATGGCCCGGACCCAGTAGACAAAGTTATATCTGAGCTGGGGTGTGGCTGGGACCAGAAACTCTGGTGAGGATCCCTGGGGTTCATCCAGAGACCTCAAGAACAAATGATGCCGGCTGGTTCCAGTCCTCTTCAGCTCTCATCTGTAACCAGAGCTTAATTAATTCACTGAGGTTTTCGTGGAACATGATGTACAGCCAAGAAGGACCCACCTCCTAACAGGGCCTTGGCAAGTGAGCGGCAAGAGAGAAGCAGACTGGGAGAGACACTGGCTGAGGGGTAAAGGTGTGGCTACCAGGCTGATTTGTGCCCCTCACTCGCTGGTGGTCTTGGGCGAGTTGCATCACCCTCAGCAACCACAAGGGGAGGGTGGATTAGATGGGGGTTGCTCATTTGCAGCTCCCAATCCCCTTCCAGGCTGGTTTCACACCTGATTTTTCTAGCCTGGATGGTTGTTTAAAAGTCAGGGAATTTATTTTTACTTATGTATTTATTTAATTTTTAACTTTTTTGTTTTAAAGATGTGTTAGGGATACAAATATTCATTATGCAGATACCCTTGTTGATGATGTGTGCCCCTCCTCCCCTGGCAGTTTCCCTCACCTGCCAATCCCGCCCCCACCCCCTGGCAGTTTCCCACTACTGCCAATCCATTTCTTATAGTATTATGATAATTGTTCAGGGTTCACTTATGAGTGAGAGCATGTGGTACTCAGTTCTTTGGTTCTGTGATAGACCACTGAGTATGATAGACTCTAAGTCTATCCAAGTTGCTGCAAAGTTCATAATTTTGTGCTTCTTTATGGCTATGTAATATTCCATCAAATCTTACAAGAGAATTCAGAGCCTAGCTTCTTTTGAAAAGTGAGATAATGTGGCAACATGGAACCCATCCTCCTGCAGGATAAACAGTGGGTGGAGCTCCCCCATTGAAGGAGGCCTGAGGTTCCTGGTCCCCACAGTTCCCCCCACCCCCCCAGCGTGTTGCCCACTGACTCCTGTGGGCATTTGAGTTTTTAACCTTCAAGTGCAGTGATCTGTTCTACCTCCTCTCACTTTCTGGGAGTCTGCAGTTCACCTCCCACCAGGGTGCCCATGCAAATCACCCTGGCAGAACAAAAAAAAACAGGAGTCCTCAGCACCAAGGCCTCTACCTTATATCAGAGCTGAGCTGAGAGTGGTGGACACGTTGAGTAAAAGAGGACTATTAGTATTAATAGAATAATAAGACAATAATAAATAGAAACATAATCAAATGGACAAAAAGAAAAAGTGAGTTCACTGGAAAAATACTCCTGAATAATCTTTAGTAAGAGGCTATTATGAACACACACTTTACACATATCAATTTATTTCATGCTTATAATAGCGTCATGAGGTAGGTATCATTATACTTATTTCAAAGATGAAGAAAGCAAAGCATCTGAGAGGTTAAGCAACTCGCCTGAAGTCACCCAGCAGGTAGGTGGCACAGCTGGGACTTGACAGGAGTGAGCTACCTTCAGGGTCCCTGCCATTAGCTTTTGCACTGTGAACTTCATGGGTATTGTGGCAGATTCTGATCTACAAAAATGCAGTGTGGGAGGGCCTGGGCCTGAGAACTGGATTGCTGGAACTGTGCTTGTTTCTCTCCGACTCTTGGCGTCTACTCTAATTCCCCCATTTATCTCTGTGTTGACATCCACATGATGGAAAATGACCACCCCAGCCCCAGTTCAACCTGATTAGTCTAAATCCTCAATACATTTTTTTAGCTTGGGTCCTTTGGAGTCAGGGTACTGCCCCCTACCCAATAAGGGACATGTTTCATGTTGGCTGAGGCTGACCCTTTGGGCTGAGGGACATGTAAGGGGCTCTCTGGCATTCACGTGCAAGAAGAGAATCCCTGGGTCTCCTCTTTCAGATCTGTCTTCACTCGTGCTTCCAGACAAAGATGGTGGAGAAATGTGGGTGTGCCCAGTACAGCCAGCCTCTACCTCCGGCAGCCAACTACTGCAACTACCAGCAGCACCCCAACTGGAGTGAGTGAGACCTGCCCCAGCCTTGGACACCCCAGGAGTGGGGACAGCCTAGCCCCAGCAACAGCCTGTGCCAAGGGCCCTTGCCCCTACTGCCTTTTGCCTGAAGGAGGCATTGGTAGAGAGATGTTAGCTGGTTTTACTTCTGTTGTCAAGTCTGGCTTGAATTATACTTCCCAGTTAAGGACAAAATGCTACACCCCAGCCTGTGCTAAGAGCTTGACCACCTCAACTAACTCCAGGAGGTAGGAACTATGGATAGTACCCTTTCACAGAATAGGTAGCCGAGGCTCCCAAGGGTTAAGTGACTCACCCTAGGTCACACAGCCAAGGATTAATAGAACTGGTTCCAAACCAGGGACTGTCTAACCCTCAGCCGCCATTGTTTTCTGCTTCCTAACATCACAAAACAGCATGTGTTTCCAGAAAACTAGTGTTTGTAGAGAGTGGGAGGGGAAATCACTAAAATGAGGCCTGGGCAGCATCTTCGGTGACCTGGGGATGCACAGGAAGGGCCGCGTGGCTCCAATGTTCTTGCTGTTCTCTCCTTTGTCCCTCAGTGTATTGCTACTACCAACTGCACCGAGACTTTGTCCAGGAAAAGCTGGGCTGCCAGTCAGTGTGCCGGGAAGCCTGCAGGTAAGTCGACCCGGAGGGGTGGATGAGCAGACTGGGCTGGGCTGGGTCTCCCATGCTCACTCTACCCCCTCCTCTCCTTAGCTTTAAGGAGTGGACACTAACAACCAGCCTGGCACAATGGCCATCTGAGGTTTCGGAGGTAAGTTCTTCTGCCCACTCTTCCCACACAATCCCCCTGCCTGGAGCCTCATTGCCGTCCTACCTGTGTCCTCTGGCTTGGGGCATGGTCTAGGGAAAACGGAGCTGTCTTGCTGAGGCTGAAGGGTACAGGGGAGAGGTTGAGGAGGGAGGATTGGTCCTGACCTCTCCGGGCATCCTCAGGCCCACTCTTTTTTTCTCCATCACAGAAATGGTTGCTGCCTGTTCTCACTTGGGACCAAGGCCAGCAGATAAACAAGAAGCTCAACAAGTAAGTTTACCTCCCCCCTGTTCCTCCACCTTTGCCCGCCACAGGCCCTGGCCTTCTCACTTGCTTCCTCATGGGCAAATCCTCTCCTTTTCATTCACTCACTCATTCATTTATTCAGTGAGAGGGGGAGAGGGTGAACTCACATCTATGAATCATGCCATGTGAATTCACATTTCTCTAAGCCATCACCATCTCCATAATACCCACGGCTGGACCTGCACGCTGTAGGGGTCAATCTGGCCTCCAAAATTTATAGAGCATCTACAAGGATCCAGGCACTGTCTATGTGCTGGGGGAACCAGGATAAGCAAGCAGACACAGTCTCTGCCCCTGGGTGCTTACAGGCTAGTGATAAAGATAAGCTTTAACAAAACACCTGCAAATCATTAAACCAAGTGTTGCAAACCAGTAACTTCTGGGCCAAATTTAGCCCCATGGAAGAAACTCATTATTTTTAGATTTTCCTGAAAGGTGGAAAGTTCTGACAATAACAACCCTCCCTTCTTGCATAGCACCAAACAGCTGAGTAATAGTTGTCTCTTTGGAATGAGCTTGAGCCCAGTTCGTCATAGTCCTGTTCGTCAAGAGCAATTTAGTGCAATGGTTAAGAGTGTGGACTTTGAAACCAGATCTATCTGAGTTTGAATAGTTTCTCAGCCAATTTTTTTTTTTTTTAGTTGGGGTCTCACTCTGTCACTCAGGCTGGAGTACAGTGGCATGATCACAACAATCACAGGTCATAGCAACCTCCACCTCCTGGGCTCAGATGATCCTTCCACCTCAGCATCCCAAGTAGCTGGGACTACAGATGTGCACCACCACACCTGGCTAATTTATGTATTTATTTTTTTAGAGACAGGATTTCACTATGTTGCCTAGGCTGGTCTTGAACTCCCGGGCTCAAGCAATCTGCCTACCTTGGTCTCCCAAAGTTCTGGGATTACAGATGTGCCCAGCCTTGGCCAATACTGTAGTCTTGGACAAGTTACTTAACCAATCTATATCTCAGTTTCCACATCTGTAAAATGAGGATGAGTCAAACACAGCTACCCACCCTATAGGGTTGCTTGAGAGAATAAAATATGTTAATTCACACAAAGTTCTTAAAACATGCCAGGCAATTCACGAAGTGCCCAATAAATGTTCACTGGCCATTATGGCTATTATCATATGACCTTATACCCAGCCTTCCTCGCTCACTTACATTACTGGCCTGTCTCCTGTATGTACTTGAGATTACAATCAAACAACTACAAATGTCAACATTTGCTGAAGAACAGGGTACAATGGGAATATGGCTGGGTGGAGGTTGGAAAACAGTTTTTGAGTGAATGAATGACCTGAGAACCAGATCTAGATGGAAATATGCTCTGGGGTATAGACTGAGCCCCATGGACCAAGTTCTAATACCCCCAGGGAGCCTAGAGCCCGGAACACGCTGCAGGCTTGGGCAGGAGGAAGGCATGAGTCCTCTGGTAGAATTCCAAGGCTTCTGACTCACCTGTTGGAATTTCTGCAGGACAGATTTGGCCAAACTCTTGATATTCTACAAAGACCTGAACCAGAGATCCATCGTGGAGAGTCCAGCCAACAGTGTGAGTGACTTTCTTCTGGGACCTGGGTCTACAAATGGGCCCATCTCTGCCTGGCCTCTGGCGACAGAGTCAAGTCGTGGGGATCTTGATCTAGTCATGGGCATCTACCCTGATCTAGAAGGCTGCCAGAGGCCAGTCAGACCTTGGCTCAGGATACGTAGATCAAGCAGAGACAGGAAGCCTACCCACTTCTCCCTCTAAGCCTATGCAGAGCAGGGCCAACCAGTAGCTCCCTTGGAAATCAGGGTCCCCGTATGAGGCCAACTTGGGGGCAGTCCCTGCTGATGGTCTGGCTTGGCCTCCCTTGCAGATCGAGATGCTCCTGTCCAACTTCGGAGGCCAGCTGGGCCTGTGGATGAGCTGCTCGGTCGTCTGTGTCATCGAGATCATTGAGGTCTTCTTCATCGACTCCCTCTCTATCATTGCCCGCCGCCAGTGGCAGAAAGCCAAGGAGTGGTGGAGCCGGAGGCAGGCTCTCCCCTGCCCCGAGGCTCCCTCCAGCCCAAGGGGCCAGGACAATCCAGCCCTGGATATAGACGATGACCTGCCTACTTTCACCTCTGCTTTGCACATGCCTCCAGCTCCAGGATCCCAGGTGCCTGGCACACCACCCCCCAGATACAATACCTTGCGCTTGGAGAGGGCCTTCTCCAACCAGCTCACAGATACCCAGGTGCCAGACGAGCACTGAGGCAGAGTTTAGAAGAAAGATCTAGTCAGGACCACCAGCCATGGTTTGAGGACTTAGACCCGGTCTCCCAGACATGGAGGGCCCTCTGCCCTCACCCGCTCTGGGCTTTTCAAGGACACTGACTAAAAGCCTGCTTTGAACAACGAGATGGTACCGAGGCATGTGCAGGAAGACCCGTTGGGCACTACCCAGCAATACATGCAACTGTCCAGGATGAGATATGGCCCATGGTCCGAATTCTCAGCACATGGCTAGAGAGATCGGGGACAAAGGAAATGGTGCTGGCCCGCATGAAGGCCCCAGTAAGGGCTGACAGAGCTCTTTGCAAGGTCTTCAGAGAGAAGGACTCCTTCAAAGTCCCAAGCCAAAGGTTTCACCCACTCCGTCAGCCTGGGCTGAGGCCAAGGATGTGACCCTGGGTGTCAAGGCTACACAGCTACTGCCTGACGCCAAAGATAAGAGGAAGCACCAGCCCCAGAGCTGGAACTGTCTATGAATAAACTGTTCTTAGTCGTTGACATGGGGGCAAGATCTCCTCTGTGTCCTCAGGCAGGGAACTGACCCAGGGCCCTTGGAGTCAGTGTGGCAGTAGGGGTGCAGTGGGGAAAGGTCCGGAGTTGTGCCAGGGTGTCCCCAGTTTGGAGCAGAGGTGGGCCCATTAGATAAGTATGATTATCCCATTTTGTGGACAAAGAAACAGGCATAGAAAGATTAAGTTACTTGCCCAAGGTGACACAGCTCGGAGGTAGCAGAGCTGGTATTGAACCCAGGCAGTTTGATTCCAGAGCCTGTACATTTTACCACTCTATCATCTTGCATCCAATTCATGTCTGTGCTTTTTTCAAGGTAAGGCTGATGTCACTTTGAGTGGGAAGAGGGAGAGCATGATGGGGCCATGGCTCTGGGCAACTAAGGCAGGGCCCTGGGCACCTTGCTCAGGCAGAGAAGGGCCAGTTAAAGGAAAATGCCGGACACACCTGTCCAGTGGTAGTCTGAAGTATAAAGGATTGTGTTCCAATAACCTACCCTCAGCACTGTTCCAAGAGAGACACCACCCCTGCCAATGGCCTGCCCTTACCAACAAGCCAGCTACCACAGACAGCTGACTTTCTACTACAATCATACCTTCTCGCCTGATAATAGCTAACAAGTATTACATCCATGGTAGGTGCTTAAAACCAACCCAAGAACAGAACATTGGGTACTGTTCTAAGAGCTTACATAGATTAGCACAGGGGACTGCAAACCATGGCCCACAGGCCAAATCCTGGTTTTGCCCACGAGCTAAAAATTTTTATTTTCATTTTTAAATAACAGCAGCAAAAAAAGATTTTTGTGATTCATGAAAACGAAGTGAAATTCAAATTTCAGTGTCTATTAATAAAGTTTTATTGACACACATCCACACCCATTCACTCATTTATTGTATATGGCCGACCGTGCTGCAACAGCAGAAATGAGTTGCTACAATACAGACCCACGAAGCCCAAAATACTTCCTCTCTGGCCCTTTCCAGAAAAAATGTGCCCCCTGGATTCACACATTAGATAGGTATGACCATCCCATTTTGTGAATGAAGAAACAGGCATAGAAAGATTAAGTTACTTGCCCAAGATGACACAGCTAGGAGGTGGCAGGACTGGGATTTGAACCCAGACAGTCTGACTCCAGAGCCTGTGCATTTTAACACTCCATTACTTTGTATCTAATCCTTGTCTATACCTTTTAAGGGTGAGGCTGATGTCATTTGGGGTGGGAAGAGGCGGAGGCCAAACACCTAGGCTCTAGAGCAGAAGGAAGTTCTTTATCCATGAGTGGGGAAAGGCCTGCATTTCTGGACTAATCCCTACACAGGGATGGCTGCTAGTAGAAACAAGAATCTTGGTGAAAGAGAGAGGCTGTGGGGAGCCTGCCTAGACCTGGGACACCTGGGCCAACCCGACCCCAGGTCTGTGATAGGAAGAGCCATCTCTGCCTCATGCGGTGTTTCCATTGGCCCTCGTGGGGTGGGGCACTGTCGGGAGGCATGCCAGCCAGTAAGAAAGAGGTCATAGTGACCCCAGGCTGGATGAAACACCCTTGGGGAGTGGGCATAAAGGCCAGGCTGATGCAGACAAGCATTGGATTACAGAGGACGCGAGCCTGGCTTCCGTCCATGCTGGGCTCAGGTGGCTACAGCCGGTGCTTACAGGAAACTTGCCTACCTGGGCACTGCCCAGAGAGGAGCTTCCTCCTTGTCTCCTATGGCAGGAGGAGGGGCAGTATGCCATCACATTTGTGGGATTGAGCAGCCTCTGCATGGTGTCACAGGCAGGAACACTTCTGGCAAAGCTTGTCAAAGGTGAGGCTATAAGAAACCAGAGTTGACAGTTGCTGGAGCCTCCCCCAGCACATGGATGTGCACACCCTGCAGCTCTGGTCGGCTCCATTCCTGTTCGGCTCCTTCAATGCCCAAGGCTGCCATCTCTCCTTCTCCACTTCCCCTCCCAGCTAGGTACAAATGTCACCTCCCCTGTAAAATCTTCCCTGACACATTTCCCTTGCCCTAAGAAGTTAAATAATCAATCATTATAAAATTTTCACCCCTTGACATGTTTTTTAATCTATGTATCTGTCTCTTGCATGAGACCATGAACTTTGCCAGGGTAGGAGTTGTGTCTTACCTCTCTGTCCCCAGATTGGGTCAGGTCAGAGTACGGTGTCAGCATCTAGGAAAGGTTTGTGGAGCTAATAAAACAATGACAACAATAACAATAGCTAATATTTATTGAGAACTGATTGCTTGCCAGGGATTCTGCTAAGCACTTCACACACATCAGTTTGTGTAATTCTCCCAGCTCAGGCACTCTTGTAAAGAAACCAAGGCACAGAGTTTTACTTGTGGCCACACTGCTAGTAACTGATGGGCCCAGGCCAGTGAGCAGAGCTGTAAGCATCGTGCAAATAGTCTTTCAGATGGAAGCTTCTCCCCAGAGGTTATTTGTCTGCTCCTGAGGACGTTTTTCTCAGGGCCTCTCAGATCATTTTGATAAGCAGTTGCTGCCACCAGGAGTTACTAACTCCAAGGGACAATGACTCCATTTGTAGGTCACAGAAATCTTAATGTGCCCCTAGTCTTCTCAAACTATCTGAGCAACCACACTGGCTGTTCCTCTGAATTCCCCACCATGGGCAAGCAAGTCCCAGACCCAAGAGTCCCACCACCCACAGCCCATTTCCCTGATGGGACAGAAGCATCCCAGACTCAACATATCCTGTGTGAAACTGCACCTAAAGGGAGATATTAGATAAAGACTCTGACCTCTACCAAGGTTAAAGACTCAGGAAAGAGGTCTGGGCTAGGTGAGGACATGTGGAAGTCATCAAAGTAGTGTAAGCCAAGGGTGTGGATCAGATCACCACGGAGGAAAAGCGGTCAAAAGAGGAGGAGAGAGTCAAGGATGGAGACTCCAGGAACCAGATGTTTAAGAAGGAGTATTAAGAAAAACAAAAGATGAAGCCACAAGAGATTCCTCTCCTCCTCATGAATCTCTCTGCTCACACCTCTCCTTTCTCCATCCCTACTCCAGGACATGACAGGAGGAGGTCTCCAAAAGGCAAGCTGGATCATGGCCCTTCCTGCTTAGACCCCCTGGCAACTCCCCATGACCTCAGCCATGTTTCTCAAGTCTCTGGACTTACCCTACAGCGATAACTTTAGGCAGCACACAGACTTAAGTGCTGCACCAAATGCTGTCCTCTTTCTCCTCTCACCATCCACTCATTCACGCATCCTTCAAAACCAGGGACAAATGTCACCCTTTCTACATAGTCTTCCCTTGCTCCAGCAAGTCAGAGCAGTAAGTATCACTGACCAACAGAATAAGAGACCATTCTGGATTTTTTATCTTTTAAATTAAAGTCGCCACAAAAACAATCCATTCTGTTGATTTTCAACGTGAAAAAACAAAGTCCCAGTTTGGTGCTCATGAGTCTTCCACACTCTCTAACACTGTTCATTTTTTTTTCTAACAAAGAGAGAACTGCCTCAGAGCCTGTGGCTCTCCAGCTATCTAACTTGAAGATAACAGCATCGGGGGTTTTTGCTACCTTTGTTTTCTCCATTACCCTCTGCTTAGTGTAAGCAATACCCGTGTCTTCTTTAGTCACTTATTCAGCAAGTACTTCTCCAGTCAACAATTGTTTATTGAGCACTGTATTCATTTCCTATGGATGCTATAACAAATTACCACAAACTTGGTGGCTTAAAACAACAGAAATGTATTATCTAACAGTTCTGGAGGCCAGACTCTGAAATGAGTCTCACAGGGTTAAAATTAAGGTGTCACCAGGTTTGGGGGCCTTTTCTGAAACTTTTAGAATCGCATTTTTGCTCCTGGCCCCTTCCTCCACCTTTAGAGCCAGTAAAGTAGCATCTTGCTTCAGTCATCACACTGCTTTCTTCTAATGTGGTCAAATCTTTTCCCGCCTTCTTTTTACAAGGACACTTGTGATTACATTTAGGGTCCACCCAGATAATCCAGGATATTTTCTCCATCTGAAGATCCTTAACTTAATCACATCTGCAAAGCCTCTTTTTGTGTCATAGAAGGTAACATTCACAGGTTCCAGGGATCAGGATATGAATATTTGGGGGTTACTGGGAGAAGGACTATGGAGCCTCTCACAAATGTTTACTGCAAGCCATACATGATGTCAGAGTTGGGGTGCATCTGTGAGTCAGGCAGAAAAAAACTCCCTGCCTTTGTGGAACTCACATGACTACTAGGAGAAGAGACAACCATAAAACAATCAATGCAGGAAATAAGTCATATCACTAAGGGTATCTGATCCTAAACCAGGGGAAGTGAGAAGCAGTTGGGGGCCCAAACTTCACCTGCACGTAGACTACTTGTGTACCTAATCTTGACTCGTATTCCCACATCTTCACAATAAAATAAAGAAAAAGAAATAAGTGCATGGCAGTAGGTGATAAGTGCTATGGGGAAAAAAAAAAGTAGGGTAGTCAGGAGAACTGGACAAAGAAGAGAAGGCAGAGGGAGCTGATCACAATACTAGCGGGTCAGAAGAGACCTCGAGAGGGTGTTATCTGAGCACCTCAAGGGAATAATTCATGCAGATATGTGTGGGAGAAGAATATTCTGGGCGGAGGGAAAAGCTAATGGCGATGAAAAATGTTTCCCTTTAAAATAAGCATATTCCCAATGGAATATTATTCAGC